AAGATGAGAGAAGATAGAAGAGTAAGGAAAGAGAATGTTACTAGAAGCTTCAAACTTGAACAACAATGGTGGAATCATGTCTTCTATAATTGTTGAAATTGAATTTTCCAAGCTATTAATTAAAATCTAGCTAATGATTTGAGAGTTTTAATGTTCTAAGATTTCAAACTAAGGGAAAACACTAAAAACTTCAATATCCGTACAAAATGAGCTCAAGGGGGTATATATAACCCCCTTAAACAAAAAGGACGGAGAAAACGAGGAAAGAGCCCGAAAACAGGCGTGCATGGACGTGCCGAGTAGGGTGAAAAAGTGGGCAGTAGCTACTGCCATGAATCAAGCAGGTCTGCACGGTCGTGCAGCTTTGCACGAACGTGCCATTTTGTTGCACGTCCATACAGAATTCCCTGCCTTGACAACTTAATTTTGGGAGGCTGTAACTTCTTTATTTCATGCCGAAAATGGACTTATGACCAGTCGTTAAAAAGCTCATGAGACGAACTTTAATATCCAATTTGAATCACTTTAAATGGTTGAGTAGATAAAAAGTTGTGGTTAGTTGAAGTTGACGCTTATGCGAATAACCCTTCAAGGCTCTCCAAAAGCTTTTCATTTCTCTTTAAGGCACTCCTCCTTTTCCCTCCATGGGTTTATCAACCGAGATTGCCCTTATCCTTGCTCACTCATGCTTGATCACATCCATAGTGTTAAAAATAGCTACATTACATCAAAAACACAAACAACCCGTGAAGCATGGATGGTACAAAATTTGCATAAAAATAGGATAAATAATGAACTTTGATGCCAAGTAATAACAAAAACAAGGTTCAAAAGTACCCTAAAATCATACCAAATAACAAGTTATCAAATCCCCCCAAACTAAGCTTTTACTCGTCCTCGAGAAAAACAATAATGTCAAACTAAAGAAGGGAAAATAACTTGCTAGAATCAAAACAAGGAGGGGCAACAAGGAGAATGCACATACACACTAGTCCGCATGGTAGCAACCACAATCACTTTTAGCGCAAGTGAGAAGCAATTTAAACCTATAAGTCGCCCTAGAGGACGAGTTTTTATCTCGTGAGGGTTTCCAATGAGCTTACCCCACAACTCACACAATCCGCAACACATCGTCAAAAATCACACAATTTCAATTTTTCGCCCAAGTCAACTCATCGGGATATGAGACACAAGCAAGACAAGTGAACTTCCAGGAATTACCAATCATACATGTGCACATGAGTTGAGGGTAGAGAGGAGAACTAAGCAAGGTTGCACTAAGATACTTCCTTAGGCCTTTTACTAGTTCATTAGAGCACACCTAGATATTCCAAAGTTGTAACAAGCCCTCTTTCGGTTATAAAATCTCAAAATGCTAGTCCACCTCCCAAAATGCACACCCAAGGCCCCTTAAATACACTCTAACTCGGGAATTTAACAAGAGACAATGATGTAAACAAGGTGCGGAAGGCATCCACGAGTTGACTTCTAAAGAAGAAAATTTTGAGAATTTGCGGGAGAGTTTTTGTTCTCCCTTTTTATTCATTTTTCTATGCTCTTCTTTTCTTCTTTTTTGTTTTTTTTTCAACTTTTAATGCTCTCGCCTCTTTTAACTGTGAGCGGCTATTTCTTTTATTAAGAACATGTGACTTATTATGCCACTTATTACACAAAACACAAATAGAACCAATTCCCTAATAGAGTTTCATTTCGGGGAGGAAAGGAGGCACATTAAGGGTACAAGGGACCGCAAATTAATTCAAACATATCCTACTTGAGCAAATTAGACAATATCCTATACTAGGCGTGCAATTGAGCATTCATTGGCTTTCATTTCATATACACTAATGCATTCAAGATTAATAAGCCTCTAAATGATCCCAACTCTTGCATACACCCTTTTATAAAAGAACTAGTACTCATCGCTTAAGAGTCAAGCAAGCAAAACATATAAGCATCGTCATTTGAGTCTCATCCTTGGGAATTTTTTCAATATTTTTTTATTTTTTTTTATTTATATATATATATATATATATATATATATATATATATATTTGACAATAATAATTACACAACTAAGCTAAGTTAAGCATAAGAGGAAAAACAAAACTACACAACTAACTAAAGAGAAAGGAGAAGTATTCACATGATAAAGTATTTGGATTAAGGGTATTGGATTTCAAGGGAGCAAAATTTGGATTCAAGGGTTTTGGATGTTAAGGAAAAAGGACAAACCACATGCACACACAAAAACAAACCAACATGTCAAGAAGGCATGTAAATGACTCCCCCCCCCCCCCCAAGCTTCATGAACATAGTCCCCAATGTTAGACTCTTGAAGCACATAAAGGGGGAGGAGAAAGCTTACTCAATTGTTTGGGCCACCTTGGGAGCTTGATCCTCCCGGATGCCAATGTTGATACATACCTCGGAACTCACCCAACTCTGTTCGAAGTCCTTCAAAACTCGTCCTCATGGTGTCAAAGGCTTTTGTCATGTCCTTGTCGGACTTTCGAACAGTCTCAAATTGGGTTTGTAGTTGCTCAAATCCAAGTTGTAGGTTGGCCATTTGTTGCTCATGAATAAGAAAGCCTTACGGCATTTGGTATTAATAGCCTTCTTGTTGCTGAGATTGTTGTTGAAAAGGGTGCTGGAATGGTGGTTGTTATTGTTGTTGAAATTGTTGTTGTTGTTTCTCTTGTTCCTCACCTCCTTGGGCTTGGTCATCTTCTCCACCCGGAATCCACTCAAAATCCGGCTCAAAGATCTAATTCTCGGGGTTGTAAATAATCGTGGCTTCCGGGTTGGGCAAGGTTGCATAGGGGCACCTACTTACCAACCATGTGTAGGTCTTAGCCCCCTCTTCTTCCTCCAACCAATTCATAGCCTTGAGGGAGCGGATGTCTAGTCCCGTTGGTCCGGAAATGATCTCCAAATCTGCAAAATTAAGATCAAGAAAAGCAGCAATAATAGTGATCATCCCCCCAATTGTTATCACTCCACTCCCCATGGTTACGCCATCTAGGTGGTCTATAAGCCAAGCCCCTAGATTCAACCTTTCGTCACCTCACTCAAGTGACAAAGAAAAAGCAACTCATGGTTAGAAACTACACCCAGACTATCTCCCCTAGCAAAAAAAAGTGCTAGCTATTAGGCGTTGGGATAGTCTAAAGGCAGGGTGTACTATGGTCGTGGCCTTGTCGGTCCTAGGATCTCTAGTAAATAGATCGGTGATTTTTCTCCAAAAAGATCCCGGGTTATGCTTTCGGGAAGGCTTATCCTTAGGTCCGAATTTGCCATCCGTTGGCTACTCAAATGCTTGGTTTACTTGTTCTATGGTCATCTTGTGATGGGTGTTCATCAATTGGAAGGTCATATATCGAGGGTTGTTGCGATTATCTCGGTGGACATATAGTGAGGAGAGAAATTCTAAGGTAAGCCGTTTGTAGGTGTTAGCATGCATTTCTAACCAATTTGGAACATTGGTTTGAAAGAATAGTTGTCTAACATCATTCTCTACACCTAAGGCTTCGGCTACCTCATGGTTGTAAAATTTTGTTGGCCGAATTCGTCTCCTACTAATTCTTAGGTAGTTGTTCATGAAATCGGAATTATTAAAGACAATACCAAGGTATCCACTTGCGGTGGTTCGACGGTGGATGGAGGGTTCCTAAGTCTAGCGGAGGAGGTGTTTCTTAGTTGGTTCCTCCTAGACATGATCAATTTTTTTTATTTTTTATTTTTTTTTCAAAAACACTTCAAACAAGCACAACACTCAATAAACAAAGACTCGAAACACACAAGGCTCTAAGTCTCCCACCTAACCAGCACACAACAAGAACAAGTTCGAAAATTTACTAACAACAATATTATCAACAATTCAAACAATCCAACACCAATATTATCAACTATTCAAACAAACAACCACCTTAGTGTCAAAAATAACTCATCCAAACTTACTACTTACATCATGAAGAACCTATTACCAACAAATATTCCAACGCTCACAATTCACTAAATTTTTTCAATTTTGATACTACTAAACCAACAAAAATCACAAATATTCAACAAAATGTCAATAAATTCAACAATTACTACTCAAAATATCAACCAACAAGCACTTAAAAGAGATAGGAAGAGCTTGAAATTAGAAAGATTATACCGAGAATGCCGTGGGTGTAAAACCCGCAAACGAACCTTTCTAGTATTCCTTGATGTTGATTGAAGATCCTTGTTCACCCAATTTTCTTAAAAATTCAAATTTCAAGAAACCCCCAAATCAATTTTGAAAGTTAGGGTTTGAGGAAATTTTGAGATTTTGGGGTTTTAATGGTGAAAAGGGGTAGTAATTTGTTATGAATGTTGAAAGAGAGTGTGAGATTGTAGTTTAGAGTAGGGATTGGAGTGAAAAATGGAGTTTTAAGGGTGGAAATAAGGTTGGAAAATAATAGTAGCAGTATGGAGTATGGAGGAGGAAGGAGAAGGAGATGTAGAGTGAGAAAAAGGAGTGAGAATCGGTGGGGGGCTGTATGTGCTGTTTACTATTATTTTTTTTTATTTTTATTTTATTTTACTGAGAAGCGTGTTGTACTGCTTTTGAAACCGGCTCCGCACGGACGTGCCAAATTTGGCACGGACGTGCGGAGAGGGTCAGTAGCTACTGCCTTGATTTCGGGCGTTTTGCATGCCCGTGCAGGTTGTTGCACGTCCGTGCAGAACACCAGACCTACACTTATTTACTTATTTATTTATTATTTTTTTATGAGTATATATACACATATTATATATTTCCCATATTATTATCATTATTATTGGAATTAAATCCTCCCAAAAATCTTTTCTCACTTCTCCTTTTATCAATTATACCTACAAGGATAATAAAAGACAAAGGTTAGTAAAAAATTAAAATAAGGGGAGTGAAATAATAGTCTAAGGTAAGAAACTCGGATTGCCTCCCAGAAGCGCTTCTTTAACGTCACTAGCTTGACAACATTGCGGGATCAACGTGAATGAGGAATATCAAATTCGTCAAGGTGAACAAATTTGTCCTCTTTATGCACAAAATCATCAAAGTATGGCTTTAGTCTTTGGCCATTCACTTTGAATGGTTCACCATTTTCATTGGAGATTTCGATTGCACCATATGGAAACACCCTTTTGACGGTTAAACGCCCACTCCATCTGGATTTTAGCTTACCCGGAAACAACTTCAACCAGGAATTAAATAACAAGACTTTGTCACCTTCCTTAAACTCTCTTTTGTTGATACACTTGTCATGCCAAGCCTTGGTTTTTTCCTTGTAGATCCGTGCACTCTCATATGCATCCAATCTTAGCTCTTCCAAGGCATGGAGGTCAAGCAACCTATTTTCACTGGCACCTTGAAGGTCAAAGTTCAAGGTTTTAATAGCCCAATGAGCACGATGCTCAAGTTCTACCGGCAAATGACATGATTTCCCATATACAAGCTTGTAAGGTGTGGTTCCAATGGGAGTCTTGAATGCGGTGCGGTAGGCCCATAGAGCATCATCTAGTTTCGTAGACCAATCTTTTCTAGACCTATCCACTGTCTTCTCTAAGATCATCTTATCTCCCGGTTTGAAATCTCGGCTTGACCACTTGTTTGTGGGTGGTAAGCCAATGAGACCTTGTGCCTCACACCTTACTTCTCAAGGAGAGCTTGGAAGGACCGCTTTGAAAAATGCAAACCTCCATCACTAATGACGGCACGTGGCACCTCGAACCTTGGGAAAATAATCTTTTTGAATAGCTTGACCACCACCTTAGCATCATTAGTAGGAGATGCAACCGCTTCTACCCACTTTGACACGTAATCAACGGCCACAAGAATGAATTTATTCCCCAAAAAAGTCAGGAAAGGCCTCATAAAATCTATGCCCCATACATTGAATATCTCCAACTCAAGAATGTTGTTCAAAGGCATTTCACTTCTTCTTGAAATATTGCCGGTTCTTTGACACCGGTCACAAGATTTCACTACACCCCACACATCTTTGAACATTGTAAGCCAATAGAAACCACATTGCAAGACTTTTGCCAAGGTTTTGTTAGCACTCATATGCCCTCCACAAGGTGAGGAGTGACACATTGTGATAACATCTTCAATCTCATCATCTGGGACACACCTCCTAAAAAGGCCATCAACACCTTGTTTAAAGAGCAATGGGTCGTCCTAAAAGTATTGGCGAACATCATGAAGAAACTTCCTTTTTTGTTCATAGGTGAGGCCGGGAGGAATAATAGAGTAAGAAAAGTAGTTTGCAATGTCCGCAAACCATGGTGTCGGTGCTTGAAGGATAGAAAATAGTTGATCATCTGGAAATGAATCATCAATTAGCAAGTTATCAAGATCACCTACAAAGATAGGCAATCGTGAAAGATGATCGACCACCACATTTTCGGCACCATTTTTGTCTCTAATCTCAATGTCATAATCTTGCAAGAGCAAGACCCATCGTATCAATCTTGGCTTTGGTTCCTTATTGGACAAAAGGTACTTTGAGGCCGAATGGTCGGTGAAGACTATGACCTTAGAGCCCAACAAGTAGGACCTAAACTTCTCAATTGCATGAACAATGGCTAGAAAATCCTTTTCCGTGGTTGCATGAACAAGTGCCTATTCCAATGTTTTGCTAGTATAATAGATAGCATGAAGCTTCTTGTGCTTCCTTTGTCCAAGAACAGACCCAACGGCAAAATCCGAAGCATCACACATGAGCTCGAAAGGAAGCTCCCAATTAGGGGGTTGAATGATAGGGGCCGAAATCAAGGCCTCCTTCAACCTATCAAATGCTAGCAAACAATCAATAGTAAACACAAAAGGGGCATCCTTTACCAACAATTGAGTGAGTGGCTTTGCAATTTTTGAAAAATCCTTTATGAACCGGCGGTAAAAACCCGTATGTCCATGAAAGCTCCTTATCCCCTTCACATTTGTAGAGGCTGGGATGCGCTCAATTACCTCAATATTGGCACGATCTACTTCAATGCCTCTACTAGAAATCACATGACCAAGAAAAATGCCCTCCTCTAGCTCTACTATGAAATAACATTTTTCCCAATTCAAAACTAAGTTCACCTCTTGACATCTTTTTAACACTTTAATCAAATTCGAAAGACAAGTGTCAAAAGATGAACCAAAAACAAAAAAATCATCTATGAATACCTTGATTGATGATTCAAGCATGTCATAAAAGATAGACATCATACACCTTTGAAACGTGGAAGGTGCATTACAAAGTCCAAATGGCATCCTTTGATAAGCAAAGGTGCCAAACGGGCATGTGAATGTAGTCTTTTCTTGATCCTAGGGTTGGATTGGGATTTGGAAGAATCCCGAGTATCCATCCAAGAAGCAATAATGACTATGTGATTCTAGTCTTTCCAATATTTGATCAATGAAGGGGAGTGGGAAGTGGTCTTTCCGGGTGGATTTATTCAATTTTCGATAATCAATACACATCCTCCACCCGGTGACCGACCTCGTAGAAATTGTCTCACCCTTATCATTTTTGATGATGGTCATGCCTCCCTTTTTAGGCACAACTTGAATCGGGCTAACCCACTTACTATCGGAGATATGGTAGATTATGCCCACTTCAAGAAGTTTCAAAACTTCTTCTTTCATCACTTCCTTCATGTTTGGATTGAGCCTTCTTTGGTGCTCAATCGAGGAAGCATGATCATCATCAAGTAGAATTTTATGCATGCATATGGTGGGACTTAACCCCTTAATGTCATCAATTTTGTACCCAATGACATCTCTATACTCCCTTAAAACAACTAGGAGTTTCTTAAGGGAGGTGTCATCGAGCGTAGCATTGAAAATAACTAGATAACTCTCACTATTATCAAGAAAAACATATTTAAGTAGAGGGGGAAGGCGTTTAAGTTCAACCTTAGGAGGAGGCGTAGTCCTCTCCTATTGCTTCCACGTTATGCACTTCAAATTTCATCACATCGTGGACCAAAGGTTGGTTGAGTAAGAGATCATACCCCTTTGCTTCTTCACCCTCCTCAACTAAGCCTCCCATTAGGGTAGCTTGTAAAGGATCTCTTTCATACAATCTTTCTTGGAACTCTTCTAAGTCCTTCTCCAATGTGTCAATTCTATGAACCCCATCAATCAATGGCTTTTTCAAAGTTTGTGAGAATGAAAATGAAATTTTATCATCTCCCACATTTAAAGTCAATCTTCCTTCCTTCATATCAATCACTACTCCCGCGGTGTTAAAAAATGGTCTCCCCAAGATGAGGGGTACTCTTGTATCTTCTTCCATCTCCATTACCACAAAATCACATGGCACAAATACTCTTCCAACTTAAACCGGTACATCTTCAAGAATCCCCAAAGATAGTCTAACCGTGTGGTTGGCTAATTATAAGGACATTCTTGTTGGTTTCAAGTCTCCAACTTTCAAGCTCCTTGCAATATAATAGGAAATTCAAGCTCACACTTACCCCAAGATCACACAAAGCATCCATCGCATCCAAATCTCCAATCTTCACCGGTATTGCATAGCTACCGGGGTCACCAAGCTTTTGGGGAAGCTTGTTTTGAATGATTGCACTCACCTCCTTAGGAAGGGAGATGGTTGTACTCTCTTGAAGCCTACTCTTGTTGGATAGAAGATCCTTCAAAAAAATTTCATAGGTAGACATTTGTGACGTAGCATGAAGAAAGGGGATGTTCACTTGAAGTCCTCTCATGACTTCAAGAAATTTTGAAAACTTCTCATTCAACTTCTTCTCTACAATTCTATGTGGAAATGGAATGGGGGCCTTATATACTCTCATGGGGGGCTTTTCTATTCTTTCTTCATCTCCCTCATTTTTCTTTGTGGCTCCCTCATCACTCTTTTGTTGCTCTTTTCTCTCAACTTCAATTACTTCATTTTCAATATCATCCTCACTTCTCACCCTAACTCCCTCATCTCTCTTTTGTGGCTCCTCTTCACTCATAACCGGACCCTCATAACCTCTTCCCGATCTCAAAGTAATAACCTAATCTTTCTCCTTTGGGTTCACTACCGTTGATCTTGGAAAGTGACCACTAGGATTGGAGGATGAAATTCCAACTTGTTATGCAATTTGAGCCAATTGGCTCTAAATTATCTTATTGTGCGCTTGAAGTTGTTGGATGTTTGCATTCATATCCGCATTGTTCCTTACTTATTGTGTCATGAAAGTTTCAAGAACGGATTCAAGGCTAGTCTTTTGAGGAGGTGGAGGAGGAGGAGTGGGTTGGTTATATTGTGGTCTTTGTTGGTTTTGATCCCTATGGTTAGGATGTCGATATGGAGCTTGTTGGTTTTGAGAATGGGTTTGGTTGTAGTGGTTTTGAGGTTGGTTTTGATTTTGGTTGTAGTTGTTTTGTGGGGGTCCTTGGTTGTGTTGCTTCCATCCCGTGTTTTGTTGGGGTTTCCAACTTTGGTTGTAGGATTGGGAGTATTGCTCATTTCTTTGCCCAATTGCCGTCGCTTGCTCTTGATTTGTTAAGTTGCAATAGGAGGACAAGCGATCATTTCCTCCACAAGTCTCACAAGATATGACTTCTGAGGAAGAGCTTGAGGGTGTGAGGGTGGCTTGATCTAGCTTGTGAGCTAGCATATCGAACTTTGATGCAATAAGGTCTATTGCACTAAGATCATGGATTCCACCCTTCTTTGTTTGAGGGGTTGCCTTCGATCACCTCCATATGCATAATGCTTGGCCACTTCCTCAATTATCTTAAATGCATTATCCACCGATAGCTTATTGAGGCTACCACCGGCCCCGGAATCAAGGTTAGCCCGGAATCATAGAATCTTTGTACAATAATCCATGATGTAAAACCATGGTGGGGGCATTTCCTTGTAATCTTTGAAACGCTCCCAAGCTTCACTCAATGTTTCAACAATGTCTTGATTGAAATTGGTGATCTTTCTTCTTAACTCGGTGGTCTTTTTCGGAGGACAATACTTTCCAAGAAAGGCTCTAGTGACTTCGTCCCATGTACTCAATGATCCCTCTTCAATTGTTCTCAACCAATGCTTTGCTTTATCACGGAGGGAGAATTGAAACATGTGCATACGGATGAACTCTTCTGAAATGTTGTTTTGCTTAATGGTTTTACATAACTCACGAAAGATGTCCAAATGAGCAAAAGGACACTCATGAGAACTACCTCCGAATTGATCGCTTTGAATCATGCAGATGAGTTAAGGTGAAAGCTCAAAGTTGTTTGCATTTGTGGTGGGGAGACGTATGCCACTCCGAAGTTGGAATGCGTTGGGGTGGTCATAGTCTCGTAGCAAAGGTGGAGGAGGATTCTCTCCCTTGTTATCTTCTTCGTTGGTTCCAAAAACCTCTTCCGGATCGGAATCCGAATATACAATGGAGAGCTCGGGTGTGCCTTGCAAAAGTCTCCTCACGTTTCTCAAAGTCCTATTTAGCTCTAGATCAACGGGAATAAGGGGTGATTGCTTACTCTTTCGTATCATGCTAAGTCAAACAAAGCTAAGAGAAATGTTAGTAATGATTATCACAAGCTAAACACACATAAACAAAAATTAAGGTAAGAAAA